AGTTGTATATATATATCCCAGCGACAATAGGACGTATACTTCTGACAGTCTAGTAATATGACAAGATAAGCGATGCGCTCGTATCTCACAATTCATTGTCCAATTCTCTTTTTGCAAGCAACGTTCGTTGGGGTAGCTAGAAAGAGAGCGCTGGATATCGATTTTGTCTGAAACGTTTTCTGAAAAGTACACCTAACGCTTTTAGCGGGATATGTTGCCGGTATATTTCAAACAACAAATGAGTTTGTTTTTTTTTATTCTGTAGATGCGATTCTCCGAGCCATCGCAAAACATGATATTCTCATAGCCAGACGTCCGGCAATAAAATAAAATTAAATGGTATATAGGGGAGGAATATTCTCCGGATGCCGTGTTATTGTGAGTCGAAGAGATTTATGTTTCGTGTAATGGGCGCATCAATCATAAATAGCAATCGTGGAAACGTTAAGTTTGTCCGCCCCGCAAAGTTAGTCGCAAACTATTAAACCTACTACATAATATAATGCCATTTGTACGTTGATTAACTGGACTGTTTTATATCAAAAAAACTTAATTTAAACTTATATAACACAAACATCTTCTTCAAATATGACCGAATAAACAATGAGATATAAAATTTAAAATGTTGTATACACAGTAAATATTTACAACTTAAAAAGATTAGATTATGATTACAAAATAGGCACGTGAGATTTGCTGGAGTAATAATACAGTTTAAGATAAAAATTGTAGGACGTTTTCATTTCCCGAATGCGATAAATCACTGAACAAGGATAATAAAAGATGAGTTAATTCTCATCTCTTTTATTTGGCTCATTCCACCGAAGAGCCAAAGTACTATTATCAATTTTTCATTTCGAAGTCATAACGAAAACACAAAGGGCCCGCGTTTTTTTCCGGACGTGGTAATAAATTCCAAAACAATGTCCCTCCCCCAACCGACGTCTACGATATAATAAAAACAAAGCCTCATTTTTTGTTTGTTTTATTTAGACATTTTTTTTAATTTTTGCCCTGCTGCTGCTTTGCGAGCTGAACATAAAAGTTGCTGGTGGCAGGTTCGTTTGAACCGATAAGGGGGCCAAAACGGTTATTAATTACGTGGGAGTTGGTAATTTTCTATGAAAATGTAACGTTTTATTAATGAAAATTGAAATATTTTTATGACATAAAAAAAGTTTAAAACACAAAATAGGTTTATTGAGTGCTACAGAAAACAGTCAACTCAGAATAAGGTTAATCTATTTTTTTTAGTATGTATTTTGTATGTTAGATATAGTGATGACAATTTTAACACATTGAACTAAAATTAGAACTAACAAATAGAACCCGAAACTTTCTAGTTCTAGATCTAGTGTTAGTTCTAGTTTTAGTTCAATAAAAATATACAACTAAATAATAACTAAAACTAGAACTAACACTAGTACTGAAACTAACACTAGATCTTAAACTAGAATCAGTCGGGTTTAGCCATGCGTCTCTTAAGACGGCTAAACCCGAATGTTTCTAGTTCTAGATCTAGTGTTAGTTCTAGTTTTAATTGTTATTCAGCGCCAAATTCTTCTATCTTTTTTTCTTTTGTCTAAATTTTACACACTTTTTGAATAAGTTAGTCTTAATATCTTAAAATACCATTTGATATGAAGGCCAATAATGTATAATTCATAAAGAAACTTGGTATAGGATATTTGGATATCGTTATGGTTTAACGATGATGACGTATGCATACATAGTGAACACCCTGCATTTGTACCAGAGTGAAATCCGTAGTGATTCGGGCCACAAAACAGTAATAACGCGCTACACTTGCCTCGGCAAATTGTGTTTGCCTTTCTCCCCGTACTCCGCCAAACACAATGAACTATGACGGCACGGACAATTCCATATTAGTCGGCAACCATTTTACGAAAATTGCAACATCCTCATGAATTACAATAACTTCTTCTCACGTATTATATAGACTATATAGAGCATTAAATAAATGTTCTGGCATTCTTAAGGACACCTTCTATCACTAATGATTTAAACTTTATTTTACGAGCAAATAATTAACGATTTACGACTCGCAACCAAACACCATTATGGTTTAAATAGGATTTAAAAAAGTGCAAGTCAATACAATTACTGACTTATAAAGCTATTATATTAGGAGGGATTTGGATTTTCTTTTTAAAACATATTAGTTTGAAATCAATCGCAGTACTACAAAAGATTTTTTTTACAAAACGAGAAACCTTTAAAGTATAAGCCCATTATAGGTATCGACCGTAGTCGATAAAACCGGGGCTATAACATTTCTAAAAGAAAACATAGTTATGTCTACTCATAAGTTTGCGATTAAAAACAAATTAGCCGTTTTGAAACGAGCAAATTATGCGTTAACTCCTATTGGTTTGTGAGTCGTTAAAGTTGTTATCCGTGGGCGACGTTTCATTCACTTTACGACCGCTCTAATCAGAAAACTCCGATACACAACGTGCACAACACGTTTTTCTGTACTATCCATCATGACTACGTTGCGTTGTCAGAACTTACGAGCAAATAGAATGACCCGAGTTCGAAAACCGGGAATCAGCTTATAGTAAACTTTATTGTTTGTGTATGTAGTAAATTTTTTTACATGTACATATTTTTCTCTTATTAATTCTCACACAAGATATGTAATAAACATTATAAACATTTAATATAAAAATTGTTATTTACTAAAACAAATCGTTTTTAGATATGGCTTAATAAATAATCGAGTCAACTTTCCCCTGTAATTTATTGTTAATACCTTTAAAGGCCACAAATAAGGAAATAATAACAATAAAGATTTATATCACGTTATTTGTCAGATAGAATGTATTAAACACACTTACGTAGAATATAAGTTAAAACTTTACATGTTAAATCCTTGAAAACGTTATAAATCGATTAAATGCGCACTTTACGCCAAACAAAAACTATTTTCACATTAATATTGCACGGCGAACTAAATAAATCGCATCCAATGAGCCATGATAATAAGGAAAATCAAGACAAAATTTCTGCTAGTAAATTGTAACTTGTTGGGTGTACGCCAAACGCAGATATTGTGCAACTTTTTAGAACATTCCAACTGGAAACTGTATGACCCAATCAATGTTTGTTTTGATTGAGACGAGCACGTCCAACATGTGCGGCATGGAAAATTCGTGATCAGCATAATTTCAGAAATTGCATTCCCGTCCCTTTTCGTGTCGTCTAGCGGTTGGATCTTTTATAAATCTCTTCTTTGGTACGTTCAATGTCGACGTAAATAACAACGTTTCCCACGTGCTGTCTAAATCGAGAAACTTAATTTAAATTGTTGTATATTTATTGTATTTTCATAAATACTTGGTTATTTTGATATTCAGTTGAAGAAGAATCATAACTTTGTCCTTCTGTATTAAGTTCTCGGATATATTTTTCTCCTTTGTAAGGATCAAAGTGACCAAATCAGAAGTTTTCCATATCTGTAAGTCATCTATTTTAGTATGAAGATATATAAAATATAAAATAAGTAGTTATACTAGACTGTTCAGATGTTAATTTTGGAATTACAAATAAAAGACTCAAAAATTCAAATTTATGTGCAATGTTACAGAACTCATAGAATGAGGAACAACAAATATTAAATCAGATGTGTGCCATGGTAAAAGATGAGCACGAGATTGATCATGAGTTGTTAAAAAGACTGGAAAGGTCAAAGTAAAAGATTATGGTGTATTTGTCAAAACGTTCATCATTCTATAAAAAGATTTGATATGTGTTCAGGAGAAGATATGCGATTTACGGTTTTTATTTAATACTGTATTATATTTAGTATTCTACTAGCAATATCTAGTGTTCCATTAGCAATATCTTATCTTGCACAATACCATCTTGTCTTTTACCAGCAGTAAATAGTTTGCTGCAAGCAGTATCTAGTCTTCCATTAATAATATTAGCCCTTCACAACACTATTCATTCTTCTGTCAGCCGTAAATAATCTGCTGAAAGACATATCTAATTTTCTATTTACACTTTTTAGTATTGTATTAGCAGTATATAAGCTTTCATTAGCAATATCTTTTCTTCTGCCAGCAGGGAAATGTTTGCTACAAACTGTATCAAGTCTTAACATAATCTTCTATTAGTAGTATTTAGTCAAAACATGCTCTAATATTTGTCTTTTGTTGTATTTTACTTCTTGCTTTTTCCTCTTCCTCGAAACGGTGTCGAACCCTAGCCTCTTTCATCTTGAGCCTCCACACCTCTTTATCTCTCGCCTCTTTCTTCTAATTCCTGCATCCCAGCACTTTTCCTGCGTCCACATAGACTGTCTTCTCCGCAGTCTTCCCTTCGGTCTTACTCTCTGCATTTTCTAATTTATTCACATTATAGGTAGCTTTCCTTCTTCTATTCTGGAAACATGCCCACCTCATTGCATCTTCTGAATTCTTATGTAATTAGATACCTCTGCTTCATTGAAGTGATGTATGTCATGATTGCATCAAATTCTCGCTTTTCTGCTCGCAGAATTCTGCTCAGAACATTCCTTTCCATTTGCATATTCTGTTCACGTTTCACAGCCATACTTAACGATGGATCTTCAAGATCATCAAAAACTATAGAAATAATAAATATATATGAATCCAAACTTAATCTGACCTTCTGCAAACTTTTATAATTAAAACAATCATTTTTATCCAATTAATTAAATCTCTACAATTTCAAATTATACATATAATATATTGTTTTTATAATAATAGAAAGTAAGAATGATTATAGTAATTGAAGAAATTACAAATAACAAGTCGAGTTCCATCTCGTTTTAATTAAAAACTTTTTTTTCGTTGGTTATGGTTGGCTGGTTACAACAAGCGTGTAGATACGTTGTATTTAACTACGCTCACCTGGTTTGTGTACTGAGTCATTCAAATGCTAATGCACGGCAATTATAATGAATAAACCGACAAACTGATTTTTAACATCGTTTATTCTTTTTGTTGCAGAGATCCGAAAACGTTGACCTATCGCTCAGTATTCCACAATCCAATTTTCAAACAAACAACGGCTACGATATGAGTGATCAGGTAAGAAAAATATTCAACTTCATAAATTTTTATGATATATTTAATCATATATTTCGTTTGTTCATCCACAAATCTTATATCATTATATGCCCTTTAATAATTCAACCGACCGTGAAACCTAAATTATCCACCATATCTTGTAATAAATGCCTGAAACGTCTCGCAAACGGCTGTTTACACGAGCAAAGTTACGATCAAAACATTCACGCTCATTACAGACCTGTCTAACGTTCAAGCATTAAACAACTTTCCTTCTCGTTTTAATTTTTTTTACCTTTTGTTCTTATCCCCGATTCGTACACGCCTTAAACAACTATAATTCACGAGAACCATCCCTAAAGTTAATTCGCACGCATTGTTTACGATAATTCAAAAACGTTCAAAGTTAATTTCCATATTTACAGGATGTTTCAATAATTATTTTAAATAATCGCTTGATGAAACATCCTCTTTAGTACGAATCCAGTTGTAATAGTCACAAATTTTCACATTTATGTCGAAAATAACCAATACTATTTTTTTTTCTTTTTTTTTTCCAATGGATAACACACGGTATTAGCCAAAATAAACCGGAACAACGTCGATGGTGGCGCCGCACACCGTACCGAGACAAAACGGCGTATTTGTTTCAAAACGGTAAACTCTGTTAAACAAAAACGATTTCAACAGGTGGTCGAATTTTTGCCGATTGTTGATCCGCAATTTCTCCATTAACGTTAAATAAACGTATACCGTTCATGGATTGAATAAAACTTTTAATTGTCGTTTAAAATTGCTACAGGAAAAAATAGATTTATTTAGTATTTCGTTTATCTCCACAGTTCTAAAAAGATGGAATCTAATCCATCATCTAAACTCTTATTATTTGTCCTATTTCATAGTTCATAATACTACTACTGTACGTGCCTCTTGGAGTGTATAACTTGTTCCATATGGATTTACAAGAGTTGTAAGTGCGTTTAATAAAGACCACGGGTCACCTTGATTTGTACATTGACCCCGCAGCACGGTCATCGTATCAATCATCGTGGTGCACCATCCAGGAATCAACCGTTGCCCTTCTTTCTAAATTGAATCTGAGCTTTCCATTTTTTTTCCACCCGGCCGCAAAACGTTTTACATGTCTGATGGTAGACGGACATCTGAGGTTTCTTCGTGTGTGGTAATTCAATTTCATTTCGTGACTATGGGTACTTTTGACGTCTTATTAAAACCGTTGGATCATCCCATACAACAACGGCTTTTGAGCTTTTCGTGATTAATTTAATCATTTTTATGGAAAATTTAATTTTTATAATTGGTTTTAATTACGAACAACCTAATTTCTCCTCGTAATTAATTTATATATTCGATCTTTTTCACAACCTTCTCGATTTTCTTTTTTTAATTTACCAAACAAGAAATGTCAAATGTTGAAATCATTGGAATCCTTGACATATATACATATTATAGAAATTGCGATATTCTTCTACTTTACCGCGAGAGTTGCCCAGTCACTTCTTTATTGTATTTCGATACAATAAACACTTCAGATGATTTTCTATCTTTTGTATAAAATTTTATTTATCGATATTTCATTACAATAAGTAATCATAATGACCTTATTTTAGTAATTAAACGATAATTGTTGAATCAAAGATTTCTGAATATTTATGAGTACGAAAGCTTTCATGGCCAGTGTTAATTCAACTAAAGACCAGCATTAGAACTAACACTAGAACTTTCGGATTAAACAGTGCGTCTTTTGAAAAAGATTTGACGATTCGGATGCCATGTTGCAACATCTTTACTGATGGAAAAAAGGAATGGATAAACTATAAGCTTTAACTGCAAAAAATTGCTATTTCAAGACTTACTGATTAGGTGGTATGCTATAGCTGGGTCCATTAAAAAAAGAAAGGCTTTTTTAAACACTTAAGGAGAAAGAACATAAGATACCCAAAGGATCTAATAAATTGCGTTTTGTGTTTATTACAAATTGCAGAATATATCACGTCTGTGAATACTTCAAAATTTTGCTCCTGAACTTGATTGGAAAAGTGAAGTATGTGCTTTTGTGAAGCCACCAACGGCGTTTTATGTTTTCACTTTCCAAGCGATTCTTTATTAAATGAAATCAAAAAAAAAAGAATGTGGCAAATCCTAGACAAATTTCTACCACAGGAATCCTAAACGCTTCTAAAGTTTGCGAGGTCGATTAGCTTTGAGAAAACAATATGGCGTTGACAGGCAGCTGACCGACTTCCTTGAGTTACAACATAATTAGTTTCCAAATGGCTTCTAAAAATAAACCGAACCAGGAACAATTTACTCTAGATGAAAATACCCTTTGAATTCAGAAAATTGCACCAAAAGACTAAATTATGTGGACGGAGAAAGATTGTACAATCAAGTTTCAAGTAAATCAAGATGTAGAAAGCATGCTCTCTTAGATACGACAAAATAGCACAAATAAATGGAGAAAAGGTCACCCTTTTGTTTAATACATTCAAAATCGTGTACCTACTATTCTAGGATCAACAAGAATTTTTCTTTGTTAGATGGCTGACAATTTACATGGAGTCACACATAAAATTATTTCCATGATTTAAGTAAATTTTTCTTAGAACCTACAAATCGTTTAACATTGCACACGTCCACTGTAACTAACAACTGGTTATGTGACGACCATGATTTTCTACATTGCGCTGAGCGTCACTCTTTTGCAACGCACTGCGCATGGTACTCCGGGAGAAAATGTAGTTTGATTTAGGTGCACGTCGCATTTCAGATGTGTTGCTTGCCATAAAGTTGTTTATTAGTTTAGTGTAAAAAGTCATTAAAATAATAAGAACCTGCTGAGAAAATGAAGTACTCATCCACTTGGTATGTAAATAAACCAAGTAATTAAAATAATTAATGGAAAAAATTACATAAATATTTTCGAAACATGTTAATACTACATTTTTGTTTAATATATACCACAAATGTTATCAGGGATCATCATTTTGCAGGATTCTGCTTGGAATACACGTAACTCAACAATGTTCGGCAAACAGCAATATAGAAGCATTTCTAATGTTGAATTTAATGTTCCGTTTTTAAACTTAAGAAAGACAATGCAACATTTGGATAGCAATGCAGCAACAAGTCCAACAGATAACATACAACGGAGAATCGTGCTAAAAGTTACATTTCTATGAAATATCTTAATCATAGCAAAATGCAAATTAAAAGTAGCCATGCAATCAAAAATCCTCCAACACGTCATCTCTTAATCTCTGTCTGTTATTTTTTTCTCAAACTCTAATATCTCGTTTCAAATTAGAGTCAATTGATTACAGAAACATCAACTTGTTTCAAAAAATGATATCTGCTCTTTAAAACTCTAAGGAACATTAGCTCAGAATATCGACAGCAGGTGCAGAATGCAAATCAAAAAACAATTTGGAATTGTCAGTAATTATCACAACTCATAATCAGTACATAAAAATGGTGCATATATTAACATTTTATCTTAGCTGTTAATACGAGACAAAACACTTTTATGTTGTTTAATTTCATCACCATATAATGTTGAATGAGTTGTGCATTAATTTTTATTTAACTATAAAATACTGGACGATCATAAATCTTATTATTTCAAAATGAAAATTACAAAACAGCTTCCATGTAATATTATTAGATTACCACCGAGTGAAATATCGTATAAAACCAGATATTGAAGAAGAAAATAACGGTACTGTACAAGTGGCGCGTACTTCTGCGGATATAATAATAAAATGCAAGAGAGAAGCAGTAATCAGGTTTAAAAGTTTTCTTTTGTCCGAGTTCTTCCTAGGAAACATTCAACTGGCCGGGAATGAGAGCGGAGCAAAGTTTAAAATTGCCGTAATAAAATTTTATTCGTTGAATTATGTACCTTCGGAACTCTCTGGACTCTTTGTCAGCATTTTCATGGCGAGTATACTCGCGTTTACGTCGACCTGCACCACTTTTGCTGCTAATCATGATTATTATCGCGCGGTGCGAACTGTTGGTACGCAATAAACGAGGAGGGAAAAAGATGCATATTTCTAGATTGCAACACTAATGGACTCATTTCGTTGCTTTCATTATATTTCATAACCAAAGAATGAACTAAACAACTGTTCTGTAATCATTAAGCACTTTGAAATTCTATTCGACTATTATTACTTAATTTCTGAAATTTTAATCAAACTAACTTTAACCAACTGACATATAAGTCACGTATAATCTCAAAAGTGATTGTAAAGATTCCGTGCTGAAACAAAATATGAAATATCGTTCTCGTCCCTGTCAAAACTTGTTTATGAAGACTGCAATTTGGCGCTGCGAAAATCGGCGGCGTCGCGTCGACCTTCCGAAGTAACTTTAATAGAGTCGAGCTGAATACCCGCTGGATGTAATTTATTTGGCAGCGGAGAAATATGGCCCATAACTTTGTATGAGAATAAAGAAGAATTATACGAACATTATAAATCAGCGTTTCGGGCCCGTTTTTATTGCGCCACTGCCAAATTTATTATTTCCCCTAATTAAATACAACGAACAATTCGAATTAGCGACGTCCACGTTCATTAATTACTTTACAGGTCGTTATATTAACATTTATGCAGTTAACATATGTACTGGACACAATGGTTTTCATTGCAAAAAGCTTTTCCCTTCCATTCCAAGTCGAAACTCACTGAAATCGTGCTGAAAATCCAATTCCTTTCGTGACGAAAAGAAAACCTTCAACTCTTTTCTTTTCTTATTTCTTTCTTGTTACATTGAAAAATAACTCGGAAGTCGTTCCATTAGCATCGGAAAGTTTTTGTTCACCTTTCAAGTATCTCACTTTTAACGGGTAAAATTTCAATTTTGTTAACATTATTTATGTAAATGTGTTATAGACATTTCACACTCCAAATTTCGGAGATGAAGAGTTTGACATACCGGCCATAAATCCACAACAACAACACGGCCCCCCACCGGGGGAACAACACAATATGCCCAATTACCAATCTCAACAGCAAATGAATATGTCACAAATGAATCAACAACAGGAAGGGATGGGCATGCATGATCCAACCGGTGGTTACCAACAGCCTCTTTACCTTTCCGGGCCGGATCATGGAATGGTTAATCCATCATACCACAGTCCACAACCTAATTATAATATGGCAAATTCGAATCAACCCCAACAACAACAACAACAACAACACAATAATCAGCAATTATTGATGATTCAACAACAGCAGCAGCAACAGCAGCAACAACAACAACAACAGCATCAACAACAAATGATGATGGGTCATCCACCTGGAAATAGGCCACAATATGGGGCGTCTCCTCAACATCCTCAAGGTAGAGGGAATAGTCCTCCTGCTGCTCCTGGTCAAGAACCTACAACTAGTGAAGATAGTGATGATAGTACACCTCACCCTCCTGTGGTAAGTAAATCATTTTACTTTAACGTATATAGTTCCGGTTAACAGTATTAAAATTTGTACGAAGATGTTATCGTTTTTAACCGTTACTCATGAGTTGTTTGATCATTTTGTAGATAACCGGCGTTAAGAGGCCGTCGCCCGAACCAGCCGATGTCCAATTGACGAAAGCCCAAAAGAAACCCAAGGTGCAAAAGAAAAAGAAGAAGAGGGATCCTAATGAACCTCAAAAGTAAGTTATCACAACGTCGAAGTTAATTATTCAACGTATATTATTATCTTATTGATGTTTCTTATATCTTGCCCCGTTGTTCAAAAATGTGTTCTCGACGCGTGTGAGAATATAAAATAGTTATTTATGCTTTTATATCAAAGTACATATAGAAATGAATGGTTTCCAGATAGCATACTTGAGATAAAGTTGAAGTCATTATTTACTCAACGGCCACAATCCAGTCATGGGAAAGAATGAACGCGCTGGCTTAATAAAAAAAAAACATTTTTATTGACACAATGAATAAATAAAATATGTATAAAGAATTCAAAGAGATTATTTCAAAGGAAACACAAAAGAAAAAAAAAGCAACAAAAAAGATTTTAATCTCATCATCACAATAAATTCCTTACGGTTTATAATCACCATCTGGTTAATTTCAAAAAAAGTTCTTTCTTTGAATGTAAATAACTAAGACGACCCCTTTTTTTTACTTCTTGTGCGGCCCACATGTTCTTTTCTTTACACTCAAAATCTGTTTACCATTCCCCCCTCCTCGAAAGAAGAAAAGAAATGGAAAAAAGGCATATGGCCACAAAATTATAAGGAAGAATGAAAATTTTAAACTCAGAACGTCTTGAATATTTAGTGAAAGGCGATAACAACTCCTCCTCCTTGGTTTATATAAAACACGGACGGCGCATCAGAAATAATCGATAAGGACACCCCATTTGAATTGAGGGTTTGAAAACTATTTGCGCGAAACCGCTCTAAAATGGTAGTCTGCTCAGGTATTATACAGGTCGTTAACCTGAAACACCTGAACACAGAGTTTTTGGTAACATAACGGAACAATTTTTTATTTAAATTTAATTTATTTTATTATATTCAATATTGTTAATAATATTATTCATTTTATTTATTGTTAATCTTCAATTTATTTTGGTATAGGCAACCGAAATAACTTCATTACAATTAAGTTACATTAAGCGATTACTTCAAAATAATTTTTTTAATATCAATTTTCGTAAGTTAATTAGTTAGTGGTATTGATTGTTGTTAAAGAATTATTGTTCTTTTTAAATTTTATCTGCAAATTTTGTTTATTCAACGTTGGTAATTGCTGACAGTAAACTTTGAGCAACAAGAATACGCGCAGGCAAATATAAATCAAGGCATTCCCTCACCCTCAGTTGAAGAAGTGGAAGAGGCCCTTTCAGTCACTGGCAAGTAAGAAATCGCCGAGATCTGACGGTATGTCGTCAGAACTACCATTTATGACAGGAACACAAGATGCCAGAAGAATAGAACACTGGAATGATATGACCGGTACACAAGAAGGAAGATGTATATGATTGCGCTAATTATAGAGTAATATCTTTGTTAACTATATCATACAAGATCCTGTCGGTAATACTTAACATACGATTATGTGGAAAACACACTGAGCTCCTGTCAAAAGGAATTCAGAAGGAATTGCTCGATAATTGATCCCATTTCGTCTATAGGACAGATACTTGAAAAACACATGAATTTGATATTGACTGCCATTATACAGAGTTAGTACAAAAGAATCATCGGGTTTGACAAAGCTATATTTCATTTTGTATTACAGATAGAATAGTAAATGACATGTCTATAGATAGGGAAAATACTCATACAATAGTGTTCAATGGAGACAATTAATGTTCTATGTGGGCTCCTCAAGTAATACAACAGATGTCACAACAATAGTCAAGTTCAGCAAATGCACGCTGCAATGTGCTCGGTCCATACTGTTATGTAACAGCATCAGTAATGCGTCTTCTGAGTTTACTCAGTGTTATAGGTAGTGGTATTACGAAAACCTTGTCTTTAATGTACCCCTATATATAAAAATCGCACGGTGTAAGATCGGGAGTATTGGAAGGCCAAGCAAACTATTCCAAATCTTTTTGAGCACGACAGTCTATTCAACGGTGAGGGAGTTTCTAGTTCTAGGTCTAGTGTTAGTCCTGGTTTTACACTAGCACTGTTAGTATGTGGAACTAAGCCATCTTTAGAGACGTGCGGCGAAACCCAAATGATTCTAGTTCTAGGTATAGTGTAGTAGGTGTAGTTCTAGAACTAGAATTATTTGGGTTTAGCCGCACATATCTTAAGACGGCTAAAGCAAGAATAGCAATATTGAACAGACCTGTCGGAACCAGAAGTCGAGGGAGATCGAATCTGATTTACCTTGATGATTTAGAAGAGAACCTAAAACTAATAGGAATAAGAGCATGGCGAAGAAGAGCGAGATAGGAAAGATTAGAAGGATATTCTGAGGCAGGCCAGGGCCCACCTAGGGCTATAGAGCCAAAGAATAAATAATATAATTCAATGGGTAATTGTAATTTTCTATTTCGTTTTATTATGAAATAACCACTTAAATTATATTATTTCTATAATAGTAACAATTATCGATCCTTTAAATACTTCATGCAACTTCAAGTTTAAAATAGGATGACTTCAATTAAGGAAGGCATTCGATCATCGAACCAGTCGCAGACGTCGGCATTAAATCACCACAATTTAATCTAATTAAATAATGCATTGAGCGCACGATACCATCGTTACATCGACTTCGTCGTCGGACGTTGCTTCGTCCTCTTCGTAAAAATATCGATTTAGCTCTCTCTAAACCTATTAAATAATATTAAAACGTTGAAGAATGCCATTTCATTCCCTCAGCCCCCTTTCGAGATTACCGTCCGCGGTTATATGGCTCGTAAAGCTTTAGACGGCCCTCAAACCCCCCTCGCAAATTGTTGCATCAGATTTATTGTTGCAATTTTCCCTCGCGTACTATGTAGTAAGTTTATTGTGAAATATTATAGACGTTAACATTTCTTTCGTAAATAATAATCGTGATGTATTAGAGAATTACAAAAAAAATTTTAATAATTTTAAATTTGGCGCCATTTTAAAACGTTCTAAATTGCTCACAAAATCATGAATCACGAATAGCTTTTTTATAATAAAATAATTATTTTTAAAATAATTTATTGTTGAAATAAATAATAAATAAACAAATTTATATCTTATAAATAAGTACTTATAATTTGAACAGTTTTTAAATTGACGTAAACATAACATAACCTTAAAATTCAAAACTATCAAAGTCAACAAGTATGTACGAGTTAGAGTTTGATAAAAAAGCTGTTTTAATAAATACCATGTCGGATAAGAGAGTTAATTGCCTGGAAAAGTATGAAACTAGATTATCACATAAGTGTTTTTCAAATTTAACCTATTTTATCTAAATTTTCGCTCTTTATTTTTAGGCCCGTATCAGCTTATGCCCTATTTTTCCGTGATACTCAAGCTGCCATTAAAGGACAGAACCCAAATGCCAGCTTTGGTGAAGTTTCCAAAATTGTAGCATCAATGTGGGATGGATTGGATTCAGATCATAAAAGTGTAAGATACGTAACCTCACTTTTTGATCAGCTTATACTTTTTATTTATTGCGCTTGCGCTGGGATGTATTTGCGTTTTGAAAAGATGTTGCGCAAATATAAAATAAATATTATTTTTAATACTTTTTTTTGTTTGTTTGTAGGTATATAAAAGGAAAACAGAATTAGCAAAGAAAGATTACTTAAAAGCATTAGCTGCTTATCGAGCAAGCTTAGTATCAAAAGGTGCTGGGGAGAATGAGCCAATGTATGGTAGTTACAGTAATTATAATAATTCCGGCGGGCCCCAATATGGAGGATACTCACCGCAGGGTACGTTACCATCACCTCCAATGACATCAGCACCTACGCCACCTTCTCAATCATTGGCGAATAAAAAACCTATGATGAGTAGTATGAACCAACAACAACAGCAACATCAGAATATGATTCAGTCCCCAATGGGGCCAGTTCCGAGCCATATGTCAATGCCTCCACATATGCAACAACATGGAAATACTTATATGCAACAGGTATTTGATCTTAGCTGATTAAAATACATAAATAGAGTAGATTTAGATTAGTAATAATGATTGAATTTAAAGTAATTTTTAGGGTGGAATGTTTATGAGGGGTGACTAATCAGAGAGATTTTTTATACTCTCAAAGTTGGTGCTTTTAGAATGATCTCTTTTGTTATTTACCTCTTATATTTTGGATTAATTTATCATTAAGCACGTTGTTTATGTAGATTAATATTTAGACTATTAGTAAAATGAGTAGTGCACGATTTGGTGTTGTGCGAAGGGTTAAGGAAAAATAGTGGGGCTATTGATGAATTCGCCACGTTGGCTTTCAGGTTCCCCAGCAACAACAAGTTCCCATTGCTGCCCACATGCAGCAGCAACAGCAGCAGCACGTCAGCCCTCCCCCCATGGTGTCAAGTTCCCCCCCTGTTTCGGCCCCCGCTCCAACTGTTCCCGCCGCAGTACAGCAAACTGCTGAACAAGGACAAATGCGACCCCCAAACTCTTGTATACGCCATGGATGTCCCAATCCAGCCATATCAAACTCAGAGTGGGAAGACGAATATTGTAGCAATGAATGCGTTGTCAGCCATTGCCGGTAAGTAAAATTATTAATTTATTTCTAATCAATTAAAATTAAATAAAAATGATAATAAAATCGCAAAATCTCAATAATCTACTTTTATAGAATTTATGTTACTTGTTTTTGTATCGAAAAAGAAGTTAATTAATGTTTACATACCAATGAGAAATTAGAAAACGAAATGAGAACACTAAAATGAAATAAATCGTTATAAATTTTATAGAGGAAACAGAAAAACTAAGAACTTAACTGCAATAAATTAAATGTGTTAAGAAAGAGAAAGTGTACCTCTAGCAAGGAAAGTTATGAGAAATAAGATTATAATCATACATCACTGGAGATAAAGAGTTATGTAATTTAACATATAGCAGATAACATAAAATAAAGCACAGTTCAAAAGTAAAAAAAATGTAAAGTAAAAGTAAAAAATTCATCAAACTCATTATCACTTTCCATCTAGGTTATAGACTTCTTCATCTATACAACGCTTGTTTGATCTTTCTACACATTTATTCTTTTTCTTCACTAGACCTAGAACTGGAATCATTTCGCTATAGCAGTCTTAAGAGATTCGTTCAATAAAAATATACCACAATTTAAAGCTGAATGACAATTAAAACTAGAACTAACACTAGACTTAGAACTAGAAACATTCGGGTTTAGCCACACGTCTTTCAAGACGGCTAAACCCAAATGATTCTAGTTCTAGGTCTTGTGTTAGTTCTAGTGATAGTGCTAGTGCAAAACTAGAACTAACACTAGACCAAGAACTAGAAACATTCGGATTTAGCCGCACGTCTTTTAAGACGGCTAAACCCGAATGATTCTAGTTCTAGGTCTTGTGTTAGTTCTAGTGATAGTGCTAGTGTAAAACTAGAACTAGCACTAGAACTAAAAATATTCGTGTTTAGCCGTGCGTCTTCAGACTGTCTTCAGATTCTACATCTTAAGAGACGTACGGCTAAACCCGTATGTTTCTAGTTCTAGGTTTAGTGTTACTTTTAGTGCTAGTGTTAGCTCTAGTTTTAATTGTTCCGCAAATATCTGAGCTTATGATGCAAATGGGTTAAGTTATATGAATTTAATACAAAAAAGTAACTTGATTTTATTATCATTTTTATTTATATTTGAAATAATTAACTTTTTCTAACAATAATTTTTCAATAAATTTTTTTATAATTAATTTTTAATCTGTTTTTTTTTCTAGAGATGTATTCACAAACTGGGTGGCATCAAATCAAAACCAATCACAAACATATTCAACTGTTAAATAAATAAATAGGTTTAGCCAAAACAAGTAAATTTTATATTTCATTGAATATTGTAGCAATATCTGAAGAGAAAATATTATATAAACACACAGAGAAAAGGGAAAAAACGATTGTATTTAAAAATCAATGTAAAGCGGCGAGTGAAAACAATAAAGGCGAAGAAGTGACTAATGAGCGCGAAAGAAAAGGAACAAAACTGGTGAAATTTTTGGAGTGGAAAATTTTAAATCAAGACGTTGATATTGAGATGAAATATGGAACAGAGAAAAAGGTATTGTACATAGATATGAAATAAGCTAGGACCCCCGAATAAAACCTGGAAATAACGTGAAAAAGGTCGTAGCTATAAAAAAAAAGTGACACTTGTAATCTTAGCGTAACTAAATTTGTTAACCATGCTAATGTACATGCATGTAACCTTCTTAAAAAGAAAAAATCGAAATTTACGTAGAAATGTCCAAAAAAAAATGAATTAAATCGACGACGAAAAAGTTTGTAAAATATTTTCTTTCTTTGATTTCTAAGTAATGGAAATTATTTTTTTTCTTTTTCAAACAAAAATGTATAACATTTAAATGTAATAAAGAAGGGTTATATCTCTTAACTTCTCTACTAAGTATCACCAAAGATAAAAAAGAACAATCATAAAAGCGCACCGACTCGAAATCGTTAGTTTTTAAATAATAATCGTCATTGTATTTAGTTTTTAATGTTAACGATAACTTATTCTTATATAAATAAATTTAAAAGAAAAGCAGCGTTTAATAAATGTGTATACAAAATCAAGACTTATTAATAATTAAACATACACAAAGAAAGACAATTATTTTAAAATATTTATTGAAAATCATGTGGTTTGATAAAATGGTTCATAAAATGAATAAGTAAAAAAAAATGATCTCAAAAATTAAACAGTTTATATGTTAATTTAGAATACGCAGGGTGATCTGGTTAAGTTTGCTAATAATTGTTTAAATTATTATATAACTTTTAATATGGAAATTTAATTTTAACTGAAACATATCAGTATTGAGAGAAATTAATAAATTAGTGTCGGGACATTTCTTAAATAAACCAGAAATTTTTAATAACAACCTCAATTATAACAGGAAAAAGTTAAATTAAGGAATATTTTATTAGAAATAGTTCAAGCCACTAACTCTTCTTCTGTATTAACAGGTCCTTAAACCAATGACTTAATATGATCCCAAACGCAAAAATCAACTGTAGTCATAATATTTGGTGAATGTGCAGGTTAAAAAATCGGGTTTTTATTACCATATCTTTCTTTTTTTATATCGACTGTATAATTTCTTTCTGAACAATCTGCCTCCACTCCACTCTATCAAGTGCTTAACTTATTACGCTTTTTTATGTCGCTATATTTCTTCGTATATCTGGATTGCTTACAAATATTTTCTATACTTTCCTGGTTTTACTCATTTTTAAGATGTGTGTGATTTTTTTCTTTGAGTTTTGGCAAACCTAACAATGTTTTTTACTTCAACAAGGTTGTGTAATTATTTATTAGCACGACGTAAATAACGTAAACAGTTTTCTCGATCATTTCTCTAAATTAGGAATAGTTAATCATTCTGTGACACTGTATATGTATGCCGAGGTGGATGATATGACAACCCAAAGTCTAAATTAGATTCATTGCATTTTTTGAACTTCTTATACATTATATCCAGCAGAGAAAACTTTTAATTTTTTGTATTGTTCTGTTGAATCGTTACTGCACATAGAATTCCATCTGGTCTTCTGCAGGATACATCTCCAGTTATCAAAAAGGTTACAATCAACAAAACTGAATTTTAGCCTAAAACTGAATTTAAGGCGATTATTAATCATACATACATACATTTAAAGCCACTCTATTATGTCAGAAAAATGAAAGTAATTCCAAATATGCCACGACTACATGATTTATGCTTTTGATCATTCTTTGTGTGTACATGCTATTAGATTTTCGCCATATATGGGGCAATCTCCACGCTGCCAAGCCAAAAGGGCATAAACAACATTTACTTGATTTGTCAGGAATCATATTCAAATAGGCATTTTAGTCAAAGAAAACCGTTGAATGGTATGGCGACCTTTTTTTTATACCTATTTTATCATCATGTTGGGAAAGATACTTAAACAGATCACTCTGTAGATCTGCCATAATTTTTATTTTTAAATCCATCACAATTAATAATCTATTCATATATTAATATCAATGAAATCACATGATTTTTATAATGGGATCTAAAAAAAGAATGAAAATAAAGATTTCTTAAAGGAAAAATGGTTTGGTGATATTTAGATAGGAAATAAAACTAAACTGGTTTAAAAAAAAGACAAAATAATACCGTAAGAAATGAAAAGAAAATGATATAAAAAAATGAATCTGTATTTTCGTATGTTGTAGGTAACTGTCCTAAATTAGTTTCTTTTTTCATTTTGAAAAATAAATTGTTATTGTAGATAATTATTGATCTAATAGTGTATTTAGCGTACAGTTATTTTTATATCATTGACCAATCAAGTTACGCTTTTTTGTCGATGTATATACGTATATATATTAATAAATTTGCAGTTGTTTATTGTTATTGATGTAAGAGCATCTGTTTTTTCGAATGCGAAAACATCTCTTAGTATTTAAATTAAATGAAAATTAAAAAAAAAGAGAAAAATTACATAATGGTGACGGATGTATATTTGTGAATATATTGATGAATTTGTTGGACCAGACTGTTCCAAGCAAGCCAAAAAAAAAAAATTGTAACGACGAATCGAACCGTCACTTTCGCCTTTTTTTCGCCAATAAAACGAGAAGTTCGCCCATTTCATTTTATTTTTGTTTATTAGTTTTATTTTAATTTTATTTTTTACTTAAGCTGCTCTGCCCGGCACAGTCTGGACAGTAAGAATTGTACATTTCAGATTTTAGGTAAGATATATTATTGATTTAAAAAAAAAGCAGAAATTAAAAAAAAATAAAAACAATGTAAAATTATATCTCGCGTAATAAGTGATCATTTTTGTTTTTTAATTATTATTAATACGTACGTTTTACGTTTATTGTTTTTTTTTTCTACTACTAGTAGTACTCTTATAATCTTGAAAATAATTGTGAATTTATGGATGGTGATGATGATGATGATGAAGAAAAAATAATAATAAGAGAAACACACCGAATCCTAATCTCCTTATATGAGCTTTAAGAAAAAAAAATTGTTAAGTACGTTTTTTCCGTTATTTTTATTATTATTATTATTTTGTAATATTCTTTTTTTTCTTTTTTCTTTCATTATCGACATTGTAAATACCATATTTTATCCTAAATGAGCACATTACCTAAACTATGTAATCAATTAATATTTAAAATAAATAGAATCTACTTGATTTTAACTCTTTTTATTGTGTACCCTTTTTAATCACATCATTTAGTACTTTATTCTTTATAATCAGATTTTTTAAATTGATAGCGATATCGGTTATCCAATAAATGAAGTAATAATAATAAGAACAGATTTTGTTTGAAACTGCGCTAAATTTGATTAATACGATCATTGTATAAAAGATGGCGGTATTATACAGATATTGTTGATAAAATTGTTAAAAAGACAAATGTTTTGAGAATTATAAAAAGTTAAATAATTCTTTATTTATAGGGGCTGCAAAATGAACAGTTTACCGTATGATTAAAGAATATAAGGAAAGGTTGCGCGTATTGTGGGACTTGATGATATATTTAAAATATGGAAGAATAAAATATGTGGAAGAAATTCCAAAGGCTTTGAAGAAAACGTTATAAACTTAGACTTAATTATTAATAAAGCTGCAGAACTTCTATTCATTAGTTTAATATTAATGCTAATAGCGATATCAGCACAGTTGAAACTTCAAACAATGATAACTTTGATATAGAACGACAGATTTACTTACTGATTTAACACAATTAATGTGAATAGATATTAAAAATACCTTATATTATATTATACCTGCGCTTTCTTTTTAAAATAATTATAATACTTTATGTATTGTTCTGATACTATATTTTAACATAAATACTTTCAATGTTAAGTTAACTATTACTTGTATGGTAAGAATGAAACTTTGATAAATATATGAGAAATAAATACAATGTAAATAATAATATTTGTTTATTGTTATTAAGTAGGAATTATGATATTTTCTTTTTGTTGAATATCGGTTGTATTTATAATATTTTTAAATAATAATTGATAACGTTAAGTTTAAGGATCATAAAATGGTTTCAAACTAGAATAAAAATAGAAGAGAATATTGTTAACCACTAAAATTTCATTACGACAGAAAATACGAGGCACGTTTCTTATTACGGAACTTTGTTATAAGTTGGTGAGCGGTAGCACTAAATTAAGTTTCCTATTTCAATACAGTTATACTGCGTGGTAAAAGCAGTAACTATATTGTGGATAACTAAACTTTCAATTTTTATTTATTCCTTTAAAAATTGATTTGTATCTTTGTTTTATTCGATCAATATTTTAGACGTTTTCTTAATTAGAATTAATCCCAAAAACAAATCGAATGGGGATTAAAAGTAAAATAGTAAAGATAAATCATATTAATTACGGCATAGCGCCGTATTCTGTCGAGTTAAGACTAGAGTCGTTAATTTTCGTTGTACAAATGCCATACTATAGCATCCGTTATCATTTGCAATTGCTCATTCATCAGATTGCATGCCCAGCAGCGTGTATACAATGTTGAGTGTTTGCTTCCATTACACGAGACCATATTGTATGTAGATTTATTAATTGTAGTGTTTTCTTTTCTACATGAACCATAAAAAAAGATATATACAGTGCGTTTCAAAAGTAACGGATAAATTCGATAAAATCATTACAAACAATTTATGAAAAAATCGCTGAAACGGGTCTAAAGATTTAAATTTTTTGGTTACCATATTTACTCATGGGTATTGCTATTTTTATTATTTTTACTGCATGTCAAGCAAATTTGAAGAAGTTAATCTTTAAAGTAATTTTTCTCGAAAATTTTCTTATGTAACCAATATTAATATTGAATGACCTGAAAAATCTAAAAATTTAAATCTTTAGACCCGTTTCAAGGATTTTTTCATAAACCGTTTATAATGATATTATCGCCTATATCCGCTAGTTTACGGACACACTGTATATAGTACGAGTAAAGTCATAATGTCATAATTTGTAGTTTTTAAAACAATTTGTCAAATTATTTAAAATAATTCTTTATAACAAAAAAAATGGAATTTATATTTCCTCCAAAAAGTTCGCGAGATACAACTACTGTTAAAAAACGTATTATAATCGAGGCTCAAAAAGCAATAGAAAAATATAAAGCTGCTGAAGACCTAATTAAAGAAACAGAAAAATTAAGTCCGGTTGATTCGTTAGAATTTGACCGACCAGTTTTTGAAACTACAACTCTTTATTATCAAGATGTAAAAGCCGAGGAGATATCCGAAGGGGACGATTCTGATTCGATATTTTCGCATCATTCGTTATTTTACCGAAACGCCTTTTTAAATAGATGTTGTCTAAAACTTGTATTTAACTTGATACCAACAAAAGACTATGCATTCCATTAAATGTTTTGTTTTAGATCACGAATAATAGAGGGTTTAAATTATCTTGGATGCAAGTATTATGTTTTACATTTTTATTGCAAGTTCCTCTTACAGCTATTGTTCGTCATATTTCTATGGTACAACAGTTTGGAGCGTGTACGATTTAATAACGTATTATTATCTTTGCACAGCAAGATTCCTTTGTTTTTCAGTGATGGTTTTATTAACGTATATTGTTATTGGATTTTCAGTATGCGTACCGGTTTATATGCTTTACATGTTTATGGGAGTTTTCACAAAACGATCTTACATCAGGTTTTGGGATTGCGTTCCAATATTCAAAGGTAAATATTGTGAATGATTCAATTTCAATAAAAGTTTCAGTATAAATCGATTTTAATTTATTTTTTTATCCTCTCTTAGGTGTAGCGTATTCTTTAGCATTCATTTCAATGTATTTAGAAGTTCATAACGTTTTATTTACATCAATAGCCGTGCAATATTTAATATGGATGTTTAACGATAGATTGCCATGGGATGATTGCGATTTTTTACACGCTTCGGAAGAATGCGTTCCATTGAAATTTTCCGAAAAGCATTCCTACACCAAAGAGTGTTGTCATCCGCAACGCGATAATTGCAGTTATACGGAACAGTTGAAAACAACATTTAAATATTCTGCTTATGAATATTATAACGCTCACGTACTTTATCTCGATGGTGTAGGAAAACCAATTTCGTCAAGTAGAAATTGGAATTTAATCATTATTTTAACGGTTTTGTGGTTGATCGTTTGTGTAATGTTGATTTTGGGATTGAAGAGGATTGCGAGATTTATGACTATCATCAATTTGTGTATGATATCTGCGTTGATTCCGGTCGCTTTGTTGATGTTTGTTATTAGTCCTCAATTTACGGTTATTGAAGAGTTTAATTGCAATTTTTGGGATACTGTAACAAGTTATCAGGTAAAAAAATTTTTATTTAGGATTTTTTTGAGAACAAAGTTTATTTTATTATAGTTTTGGTTATATACTGGTATAAATATAATTCATAGAGAATTACCAGCTGATGTAATAGCGTATGGTTCAATTTCAAGAATTGGAATAAGTCTAACGGTGGATGCTGCAATAATGTTTATGATAAAATTATTTTTTTTCGCTTTATTTACTGTTTGGATGTGTATCGGAGTACAATATCAATTAGCATATTATAATATAAAATTTTCTAATTGTATTGTAACGGATGGGGACGTTTTATTTTTTGCGCTGTTTCCGGATATAATATCTCATTTACCCGTTCCTCAAATTTGGTTAATAATTTATTACTTATTAATAGCTGTTTGGGGTTTATCAACCGCTATTTATGTTTACATGGCGTTTGTGGATGCATTACAACAAGAATTTCGCACTTTGGAGAAATGGAGATTTTTTATTTCCGTTATAATTTGTACTGCAGCCGCCATTTACACTGCTTTTGATATACGTCCAGACATGATGATACATATAAAGTAAATAATTTCTTTTTGTTTTAACAAAACATTAATTTATTTTTAAATTTAGAATGAATATTTTGGAAATCATACCGCAAACAAAAATCTTTATGCTTTGCGTAAGTTTTGTAGGACTTTATTTTTATTCTATAACAACATTTCGGCATGATTATCATTTTTATAATGGAACTATTTTGGGCGGTTATTGGACCGTTGGATTAAAAGTCTCGATGCTGGTCGTTTTTGTAAGTTAAATAAGTTAGTTTGAAAAACAGATTGAATGTTTGTTTTAGATTTCAAATGGATTAAATTGGTTTAATCAATTAAACGAGGAAGTTGGAAATTATTCTCTTGTGCACAGTTCGATTCTTGTTGTGCTAGGCGTGATTATAACAGCGATGAGATATGCTTTAAAGGTACATCAATAATAACTTTTTGCACAAACGAATATTTTATTTTTTAACAAATTCTCGTTTAGATAAATAATACTTTAATAAGTCCAACACCAAAATGGGGCCCACCAAGTAGAAATCAAAAATTAGCCCGAATCAAATTCGATCCATCCCACGATTTACATTACAGATCTGTTGTACAAAAATGTCCTCATAGTTGTTTATTGTATTCGAATGCTTTGAAAAAAGAAGTTAAGCATTGGGTTAGTAAGAAAAATATTTCAGAAGGACGAGATCTCGGGCAAACTTTATCTCTTCATACTGACAGGTCAAAAATAAAAGAAGATTAAGATAATTTTTTGTAAATTTAATGTTTAAATAAAATTTAAATGATTTATGTTGAATATAAAGGCATTGTTGTTACTTCTTTGTTTACAAATGCTTTTATTTTAGAAAAGTTTGGTGCAAAACTCGGTCAGCTCCATATTTTATATTTTCCATTGGGCATTAAATGAGGTTTGCTAAAAAAAAATTAGGATTACAGAGAAAAATTACAGCGAAATTGCCAAAATATTTATTTATTTAAATAAAATATATAAAATAAAGAAGATTAAATCTTGCTTTTAAATTAATTTTTTTGTTGTTTCACATCCTGTTATTTGTAATTTGTATATATTCCTCGTTGTACATGTATTAAAATAAATTGGAAATGTGTCACTTACAGTATGTACAACGTGACAGTACCAGCTCAATTTAAATTGCAAATTATTTATCTTTATTCATCATACATACATCCTGTTGTGAATCTCCATGATATTTGCTCCCAGTCTCAGTGAAATCTGTCAATTTTTGGGAATTATGTACTAAATTGCAGTCTCTAACAAGCTAAATCTCACCATCCCCATCTAATCTAACTTAATAAGCTATAACAATTCCTAAAGATTTTTTATATTCTGTTTACTACCTTTTAAATGTTCTGTTGATTCACTTAATTATTTTTTGAGTTTGATATCGATTTATCCTCTTCAAATAAATTACGCCACAAATGCGATTTTGAGAGCGATACGAGGTACAATTTTTACTGTTTAAGGACGATGTGTGGGTCCATTGGGGACAATTTTTGATATCGATCGGCGAAATAAATGCTTTCAAAGCTATACTACTTCCATTTTATCACCCCATTGTACACACTCGTGAAGATTAACGTGTTTAAATTTAAATTATAACAAATATAGTGGAACGAGTAATTTTAATTTAGATAATCATGGTTAAATACACGATTATCACCATAAAAACGAAAATGTAAATGATTTATTATGGTTACTAGAATTCGTTACGATAACTGGTTGAAAATGTAATGATAACATTGTTGAGATCTTCAATTTAATCTTCGTTTCAATTAAACGGAGGTTAATTAAGACTGAAATTAAGATAGTAAGGAACGATGTTTGATTTTAATGATAAATGTTTGAATTATTATTTCAAATTAGTCCTTTGATGTAACACGATAGTGCAAACTAAAGTTCATTCTTAATGCTGCCAAGAACATTTATTCTCAAAGAAGACGAGAGCGAAGCTCGGTTCTAATTAATCTGATTAAAACGAATCCTGTGTCTATTTTATTACTCAATTAAGTAACGCTAAGTATTTCGAGCTCAAATAGGATGAAATCTTGCAAGCAAATCGAGAAATTGATGCATTTCTATAGAATAATCTTTCAACAGAAGTACTTAAAAAATTGAATCTGAGAATTCTGAGTATAATAAAATGGTTTTATGGTTATATTTTATATTTATTGCTGAAATACTGCAGAATTCGACTCCTCTTGATTATTGATTTTCCTCAATTTCCGATATATTTTTAAGTTAATATTTTCAGAATTAAAACAGTTTAATTGAAATAATATAGTAACAATTAGATACAATACAAATAATATTTAAGCCATATGTGATTAAAATTATTTTACATTTTTGGTTTATATTATTTAAAAACAATTTCCAAGTAAAACTAATGAAAAATGAGGTTATTTGAGATTATTAAGTCCCTTATCGTTGAAGTACTGGTCGTTATGGGATGTCAAGAGTTTTTGAGTTAAACCCTATCATAAGCTTTACGTGCTTTGTTCGTTACATGTCGTATTAAATTTCCAAGTTTTCTAATTTCCAAATAGATACTATGTGTCAAAATCATGTGCTAAGTTCAGTATTAATATTTAAATAAGAAAACGGATATTTGAAAGGCATTTTTGATTATATAGAGTGCTCCTTATTTATATACAACCTGATTCAGAGTAAGCGCCTTATTTTTTTTAGCCACACTATGGGTACTACTTTCAAAATATTTGGTAGTAATATATTTTGGGTCATTCTCTACACGATGGTGATGCCACATTTTCAATTGGAAGAATTATTTCAAAATGGCGGCTGTCAACTTTTTTTTTTTAAATGGAATGCCAAAATTTTTTTTTTATTATTGAGGTCCTAAAAACATTCTTTATACGATAGTATTTTGTTTTTCTTAAAAATTCATTTCTTTCCCCATCAAAAAGCACACATTTTAATCTAGTAGCGCATGAATGTTTTACACTCGATGTTATTTTTGTCCAAATATCAAGTAGCGCTAGACACAAAAGAAACAATTAAACTTTATTTTGTAATAAACATCTACTTATTTATTTATTTTGACAAAAATAACATCGAGTGTAAAACATTCATGCGCTACTATACTCTGTTTTTAAACCAGGAGGAGTAAACGCGAAAGTCAGATTTACACTAGGAAAAATCACCAGAAAATATCACTAGATATTTTGGCGGTAAATTTAAATTAATAATTGTTATTATTTATTTATTTACTTATTATTGTATTTATTTTCGTTTGTTATCGTCAACACTAAACATACAAATTAACATTGAAGTTATGAGTGTATTTATTTCAAAATATAATAAAGAAGGGTTTAAGAACACAAAATTTACAATAATGACACGAAACTGTCGAATTGTCAATAACCTAACCTTCAAATTCAAAATTCAAAATTGCCTGTGTGTGAACCTTCCTCGCATTCAACCAGTCACGTGCAAGGTCAATCTGGTGACAAATTTAAAATACTCCTCCTGGTTTAAAAACAGAGTATACCGTATGTTCTCGAATCTAATCCGCACCCTTTTTACAAATTTTATATGCTCTAAAATCAAGTGCGGATTACAATCGAGTGCGGATTACAATCGAGTGCGGATTACAATCGAGTGCGGATTAGATTCGCAGTATAGTTGCAATTTGGAAAATAGTAAAATAAAATCGCATTATAACAATAACACTTTATTAAGGGTTTTAGAGCGATATTTACATTTTTATGTATCATTTTCTGCCCATATTACGTCGTCTTCGGATCTGTCCAAAGCATTGGTTATACAAAACTTCTTAAATGATGTTATAATATTGTTTTCAGGGATCGTTTTCCATGTGTGTTTCTGGTCTACGACTCTATACTTGTCTTAACCATTCCATCATCAGCTTTTCCATTATTCATCCTTTTTGTTGTGCCCTAACTAAGACGTCATTCGGGAAGTCTTTCGGATTTCAGAATGGTTTCTTTTTCTCAATATTGATAATGACAGAATTTTTTCCCTATCACTTGTTACTGCTAGCATACTAATGTTATGCACAATTTTTGCAACCACTCGTTTCGAAGGAAATTGGGAGGCATATCCAGATATACTGCCATTTCGTCGGCATTCATAGTTTGAGACAAATTGAAATTTTTTTGAAAATCATTAGGGGCTTTTGGGAAATTGTAGTTTGTCCAACCTTTGCTAGTATTAAAAATTTTTTAGTCTCTTCTTCCGCTTTTCTTAAGAGAACCAGAAAACTGCCTCGTCAATTTCATGAAATCGTCTCTTCTTTGACTCTGTAAATTTTTTGCACGATGCCTCACAGTTTGCAATAAATGCCTTGTCTTTCCGCAACAGCCGCAACGTTACTCACATTAACGGCAAAAATTGTACCACCTTTTCGATTTCTTTCTTTTAACGCTAACTTAATAACATCTCTTTAAACTTCGCTGTATAGAAGAACCTCTTCGATTTTTGCTACTTTTTTTCCATAATTACGCTGTTATATGTATAATTAATCACACACCACATAACTATTTATTTTTAAAATTATATTTATTTTCCATTTTTTTCTGGCTTTGTAAATTTAAAGTTTAGTCTAATAAAAACTCGGCGTAAACAAGGTTTCTTTAGGTGCATTAGTCAACGGAGAAAATATATATTTATGGTTAACAGCAAGCATCGCATCATTTTGTTGTTGTCGAATTGCTCAGAGGAAGATGCGGATTACATTTGCAAACTAAATTTTTTTACCATTATGCATTTTTAAAACCGGGGTGCGGATTAGATTCGAGTGCGGATAAGATTCGAGAAAATACGGTAATTGCCAAAGAAAACTTCAAGGTATAATTAATGTTTGTAAACAAAACTAACCTTACCTAACATTCAGCGTCTGAAGACACAGGGCTAAACCCGAAACTTAAAAATATACAACTTAGCGCTGAATAACAATTAAAACTAGAACTAACACTTGCACTAGAACTATACTCTGTTTTTAAACCAGGAGGAGTAAACGCGAAAGTCAGATTTACACTGGAAAAAATCACCAGAAAATATCACTAGATATTTTGGCGGTAAATTTAAATTAATAATTATTATTTATTTATTTACTTATTATTGTATTTATTTTCGTTTGTTATCGTCAACACTATACATACAAATTAACATTGAAGTTATGAGTGTATTTATTTCAAAATATAATAAAAAAGGGTTTAAGAACACAAAATATACAATAATGACACGAAACTGTCGAATTATCAATTACCTAACCTTCAAATTCAAAATCAAAATTCAAAATTGCCTGTGTGTGAACCTTCCTCGCATTCAACCAATCACGTGCAAGGTCAATCTGGTGACAAATTTAAAATACTCCTCCTGGTTTAAAAACAGAGTATAGATTAAAATATTAGGTTCCTTTTGGATGGGGAAAGAAATGAATTTTTAAGAAAAACAAAATACTGTCGTAAAAAGAATGCTTTTAGGATCTCAATAATAAAAAAAAAATTTTGGCATTCCATTTAAAAAAAAAAAGTTGACAGTCGCCATTTTGAAATAATTCGTCCAATTGAAAATATGATATCACCATCGTGTAGAGAGTGTTCTAAAACATATTACTGCCAAATATTTTGAAAGTAGTACCCATAGTGTGGCTAAAAAAAAATAAGGCGCTTACTCTGAATCAGGCTGTATATAAAAATTGTACCTTCGAACATTTTTATATCACGTTGTAATAAAAAGTAAAAGTTGCATATTCAAATGATTAAAATGGTCGAAACATTCTTGCTCTCGCATATTCATTTAAACTATGCCTATTTATCGTAGTTTCTCTCATATATGCTCGGAATGAAGTTGTGGTCTACTTCCGGTAGACTAGAATAGTGGAACCTAAAAAAGTTGTAACGAACCAGTTATGTGAGACACGCTGTATGTAAATAAGGTTGTTGTTAAATTTTTCAATTACCAATAATGATTATGATACATAATATTGTAGATGGTTAAAAAAAAATGAGAAAAAAGGGTAGTTTTGGCATATTACCAGGTATTGGACTTGCGTGGTGCAGCTTCCGCCTGTAGAATTGCGTTAAATGAGGACGATTTGGTGCAGAGCGCACAGTTTCGCGCTTCCAACAAACGAGAAACCTGCGGGCCGGTTCGTTTTCTCTACTTTTATACGAGCAATTTGTTGCATTCGTGCTTTATGAAAACGACCTACTGTTACGAACAGTTTTCCTATGTTGACAGTAGTAATAAAGAAAATTGTTGAAAAGGAACGAGCTATTATCTTCAAGTAAGGTAAAAAATAGATCTTTTTTTCAACATCAGCTAAAAAAAATTGGCTTTTTTGAAACTAATTAGTTTAAAATCGATACCTTTTTATTTCATTTTTTTTTAATTAGCATTTATTTTGTGTTCTTTTTTTTGGGAAAATAGAAGTATGCGATTTCATTTTAAAAGAGTTATAAGTCTCATTTCGATATGAAACGCATTTTTATTAGATTAAATAAATTCATTTTATTATCAGATTTGCTTTTTAGCATTTAATCTGAGTACATCCAGTCCTTTTCATATCTTCTTACACTTTAAATAAAAGTTTACGATTAATCCGGTTTCAAGAGATAAAGAAAATGTTTTAAGGTGAAAAATTTCAAATTGAAATAAGAACTTTAAATTTTAAATCATTACTTAGAATGTATATTGGTCAGAGTCCTTTATTATAAGAACTTTGTCACACGCTACTTTTTCCCTTCTTTCATCTCGTAAAAGGTAATTTTCTCTGGCGATTTAATAATGTAGCAGTCGGATGCTCTATTAACATTTCTTTGCTCCATGTAATACGTATTACGAATAGCCTTAAATAAAATCAATGTTGCGGTTATCTCAATATACTTTTATTAGTATTATTTTTAAAACCGGCTCCCCCACCAAAATTAGAAAATGTAAAACAACATACTTCACTTTTACAAAATACTTTGGTGATTCTAATTTAATAATACATTTTTGTATATATAAAATTTCATTTTGCAAATATCAACGTAGAATGAACTAAAAAATTGTTTCCTATCTCATAAGTTGTTGTTATAACGAACATTTTGTTAGTGTTTCGAAGTTTGTCGCTTCCATGGTCACCGTGACCATTATCCCTTGGGCCGTCATACAATTAAGGCCAGCTTAGTTCTTGACCTCATACCCAAGGGTACTTTTTTCTTGCTAGAACACTGTTTAACTTCATTTTCAGTTTGTGTGCATACAATTTAAAACTGAAATGGTACAAAAAAAAAGTTTCATATTAAAAAATATTTTGTAATTTTATTATTAAATATATCAAGTCTAATTAAAATTGTATTAATTACTGTGCTAGTTATATTAAATTTAGTACGCTGGTGTTAATTGGTGTAGGATACGAGTCGCGTGAAGGTTTTCCCCGAAAACTTACCCCCATTTTAAGTTTATCGTAACATGGTTATTAATAAAGTTGTTGTTAACTTCAAAACTATAATATTAATTACATATAATATTAATTTTTTTCACTTGGTGTTGTAATAGAAATTTGATTGTTGAAAAGATTAAAATTAAAAATTAAACGTACAGAATTCTACGAATGTGCTTTTTGTTACGTGATTGAGTTTTGGTAATTGATGTTATCGTGGTCAATTGCAAGTCCGTATTATGCCAAAACATTCATTATCGCCTCATTTAATCGACAAGCCATCAAAATATGCATTACAAAGCCGTAAAAATTAGATTATCCCATTTCTCCCTTTACATCATTCAATGATATTTGTCAATAACGATGTGTTTATATCCTTACCACATTTGTCTAAGTTTACAACACTGTGTGTGAACTTTTGTCCTTCACTGTATGTGTTTCTAGACAATACTATTATTGTGCACAATAATGCTTTCTACGAAACGACTACTAAAATAACTTAACGATGTATCGTTACTGAAGCTGCGAATGAATCTTCCTTATTTGACAGATACAAATTTGAAACGTTAATATGAATAGAATTTCCTGTATGTTGTTAATATAATTTACGAAAGCGTTATCATCATTTTCACCCGTACTAAAGCACTATACTAAATGAAATAAACAACTTATTCTACTTGAATAGTATTGCATAATGCTCTCAACTAAATTTTACTCAATTATGATTTATGGCGTGATTATTTAAATAATCTGATTAAATGTATTTCGAGAATAACTTTGCGAAATTTACAAATAAATGTGTAAAGTCGACTCGAAAAGCGGTTTAATCGAGGCGTTTGTCGGCGTCGCATCCGTGCATTGTTGGTATTTTACAGTTTATAAAGCCACTGCTCGTAAAGTATCCTGTTATTGTAACTTTAATACTGCCACAATCTGGTCTACGTTTACGTAACCTACAAAAGTGTAACGCAATTTTATTCCTATTTTTATATTTCTTTTATAATGTAAATTATAAAATTGCGATTATTGTAAAGTAAAAACTATCTAATAAAGAGAGATTGTTAAAATCATACATACATAAATTAACTTATAATTTCGATGAAATTGAGCAAACACAGCTGGTGCGTGAAATGAGAAGCGGTATATTGAGCTTTGCATGTAGCTTTGTGTTTTCCGATATGGTGATTGTGCGATGTTTGTTAACATTAGATAAATTGTCGAGGCGTAAACGATAGTTAATAAACTTAAAAAAAATGATTGTATTGGTTGACTTATAAAGTACGATCACAAACGATTTTCGTAAGATCCAATACTTTTTCCAATATCGAGAGGAGATAAACCATTTTAGTATTACCGGTAAACCAATATGTGTTCGAACATGAAAATGGGTTTATTTGAAAGGAATGGTTTGAACTTTTCATTATTTAATTGAAAAACAGGAATTTACCTTTTTATTTCCGACTTTATTAAATTTCTCAGTTTCAACGAGTCTTTAAGTTCTTTAAAATTTCTAAGTTCTATTTACATTTCGTTTTGTGATAAGTGAACTTTTAATTAACTGTATAAAAAATTGAAATGAAAATCTAGTTCGGCAACAATTATAAAATATTTTTGATTTAAAATTACTGTTATAAAAAAGTAATATTAACATAATGTGTGTTTCAACCTCATTTTTGTTTTTTCGCTTACTAGGTATACTAATATCACAGCCATAAGCTTTTATGTGATCTCCATGAACAGCTTACCTTACATTTTTTGGTATCTCGAAAGCTTTACAGTAATAACATTCCGGTTATAAAGTAAACATCGTTGTTTAGTACTAAAATTTAAGGATTATTTAAGCAGGTTATTAAATTTTATTGGATATAAAACGTCTTAAATACTTTTTACTTGTTTACGGCCACATGTATCGCAATGAAATGGTTATTTTTGACTTTAGACTTTCTTATTTTGAAAAATATGTTAAAAACAACATGTAAGTGGCGTTATAAATAGTCATTATGATCACGAAAAAACTGTTAAAAATGTTTCCAAACCTTCAACATCAAAATATAAAAGTAAAGGTAACAAAATTTTTTACCGGAAACGGAATTATTTAGTTACAAGTTCTGCCAAGAGCAAGATCCATCTCTATAGTTAGAGCATGTGTCCTTTGCTTTTACAGAGTTTCTGCCCTCGAAAACTTATGTGTCTTGCCGACACCTTATGTGTTATTTACAATTGTATGAATTCAGCTAGTTGAAGGAACCATTTTAGTGGCGATTAATATTCTGCTCTATATTTAACCGAGGTCGCTGACGTTAAGAAGCTACAAAGACGCCTTATGAAGATTATACGCCAACGAGATTTTAGCAAGAGGTGCAAGTAGCTGTTACATAGTGAGACAGAGAAGATGAATTCTTGCTGATTATAAAAGTTTGCAGGCAAGGTCGATTGCGAGCGATGCGCTATAATAAACCGCATGATGATAAAACGTTATAAAGATACTGCCTCGACCGCAAGCGACCTCGGCTTGAAGATACAGCATCGCCGCTTTATTACACAAAAAGATATACCAAGGCAAGGAAGATTTATTTTTATTGAATATGAAGGTTTGTAGCCAAGGTCATTTGCGACCGAGCCTCTACAATGACGCCCCATAAAGAGAAAACGTTAAAGAGACACACGCGGTACCAAGCGAACTTCTTGCATATACAACATCTTGATCTTGTTATACATGTAACTATTGTATACTAAGCCTGGGAAAATAAATCCTTTTGAAATCAATGTCTAAATGTGGGAATGAAATAAAATAATTATTTATTTTTAAATATCTACTATCTGCGTAGTGATTTTCTGACTAATGTTTTCGTTCTATTTTATGAAATAGATTTAAATCTAATTTTATTGTTTAAAACAACAATGTAAATGCACAATGTTTAATAAATAGAGTGAAACACATTGTCGAACACACTTTTCACGTGTTGGAGTCGGTGTTCGGCAGCAATGACAATATATGGTAGGTAATAAATTATCCCTTTGGTTCCCTTGAACAAAGGAATCTCTGGTATCTCATGGCTTTATAAAAAAATCTGTTAGGCAAAAATAAATTGTTACTGCTAAAAATAGATTTTATAAATATATCGAAGAAAAATCTTTTTTGATTCTAAATGTTTTTAATATAACGAAATTTATAATGAGTGAAATATACCCAGGTGAAGGTTCAATTGTGAAAGAATATTTTTTAAGTTGATGTTAGAGAATCTACGTAGTAGTATTCAAGGAATGCGCATGGAAAATCTCGAAAAGGTTTAAAATGTCCGTGAATTGTTTGAATGCAGATGATGTTAACGTTGGAAATGTTCCAACTGAAGTGACTCTTCTCTTGTTTTCTTTTCAGGAGATCGACATTTAGTGTCACTAGGAAAATTTTAAACGAAATGTTGTCTTCTAGTTTATAATCCTTTAGTAAATCCTAATTTTTTTTCCTATGGTTGGAAAAGCGATGTGTAAGGTGTATTAAGGTGTAGTAAGGTCTGTGAGTGATTACGTTGGTAATTTTTAGATTGAACCAATATTACGAGTAAAAAGCTGATTAAAGTAGATGAAGGACGATTCTTCTACGTTTAATCAGCTCTTTACTTGATTAACTAGCACTCTGGAGGAAAGGAAAAAGTAAACAAAACGAAAGTTCAATTTAGTCTCTTGTATTGTTCTATCTTTAGGATAGTTCCGGTACCTAACATTTTTTAATCTTAATTTTTACAAAATCTTTCATTTTAATCATTACGATAATTACTTCCAGTTTTATATAACTTCGTGGAAAAATCCTCTGTTGATTGTAAAATTTTTCTCTTTCCCATTCACTTCTTATTATTCTCAAGCC